AATGGTACTTCATTGCTTAAAACCTTTTGATGGCTTTACACAGTCCTTAAGACACAGTCAAAAGACATATAATTTATGCTCTGACTTGTAATTGCCTCTTCAGCATCTTTTTCTACATGCTTCCCTTCCTCCTGGACACCCTTCTCTACACTCCATCACCCTATAGTTCCTAAATGTTGCCTGTTCTCTTTTCTTTTCTCTGCATTTACACATGTTCCTTCTATCAAGAGTGGCATTCTTAAAGCTGACTCAACTAATTTCTCAGTCCTTATCAAGATATCAAGGTATTACATTGTCTAGGAAGCCTCCCTGATGGCCTTCCAGTATGTTCCATAGAATACCTTCACGCAGCAGTTCTGAATCTGTACTGCAAGTTCCTGTTTATTCATTTGCCTCCCTCACTACACTGGAAGCTTTTCAAGGGCAGGAAATGTATTTTGTTTACTGTTGTTTGTTCACAAGAGTCTGGCATATAGAATCTACATCTTAGTATGTTACGTATGTTAGAAGGGAGACAATAAGAACACTCCCTAGAAGCGAGGAATGGTCTTACTTACTTTGAACACATCATTAAGATGGGCCATTTGCTAGAAAGGATCTGCAAAAATGAGGGAAACCCTCAACAAAGTGGAGTAACACAATTGCCACAACAGATGCCAACAATTGTGAGGATAGCCCTAGAAAATGTTCCATCCTATTATACATAAGATGGTCATTAATCAGAGCTACATGGCAGCAACTAAAGAGTTAGAACAGTACATAGATTAGGGAACTGCCAGAAGATCAAGCAGGATTTAGAAGAGGCTGTGGCACCAGGGCTATCCTTGCTGATGTCACATGGATCATGGGGGAAAGTAAGGAATACCAGAAGAATGTCTATTTGTGCTTTATTGACTATGTATGTAAAGGCATTTGACTAGGTGGATCATGACAAGTTGTGACTGACATTGAAAAGAATGAGAATCCCAGAGCACTTGATTGTGCTAATGTGAAACCTATACCTGGACCAGAGTGTGCTGTGCGAACAGAGCAGGGGAGCACTGCCTGGTTTGAAATGGGGAAAGGAATGAGCCAGGGCTGTATTCTCTCTCCATACCTAATCAATCTGTATGCTGAGCAAATTATCTGAGAAGCTGGACTCTATGAGGAGGAGTGTGGCATCAGGTTTGGAGGGAGGCTCATCAATAACCTGTGTTATGCAGATGACACAATCTTGCTTGCTGAAAGTGAGGAGGACTTGAATCACTTGTTGCAGAAGTTCAAGGAATGCAGCCTTCAGTATGGATTGCATCTCAATGTCAGGAAAACAAAGATTCTTACCACTGGACCAATAGGTGGTGTCATGATGAATGGAAAGGAGATTGAAACTGTCAAACAGCTTCATCTCGCTTGGATCTACAATTAACACCCTTGGTACTGGCAGTCAGGAAATAAAGAGAAACATTGCACTGGGAAAATCTGCATAAGGGACCTTTCCAAATTATTAAGGAGTAGGATGTTTGTCCAAATTATTGAAGAGTAGAATTATTGAGGTTGATTGTGTGGATCACAACAAACTGTGGCTGACTCTGAGAAGAATGGGAATCCCAGAACATTTGATTGTAGTTACGCAAAACCTATACTTGTACCAGGAGGCAGTTGTCAGAACAGAGAAGGGAAACACCGCATGGCTCAAAATTGGGAAGAGTGTGTGTCAAGGATGTGTCCTCTCTCCATATCTTTTCAATCTATATGTGGAACAGATTATCTGGGAGGCTGGGCTCTATGAGGAGAAGTGTGGCATTAGGATTGGAGGGTAGACTCACTAGCAATCTGTGTTATGCAGATGACACAACCCTGCTTACTGAAACTGAGGAGGACCTGAATGCAGAAGGTTAAGGACTGCAGCCTTCAATATGGATTAAAGCTCAGCATCAAGAAAACAAAGATTCTCACCGCTGGGCCGATTGGCAACGTCATGGTAGATGATGAAGAGATTGAGGTTGTTGACAGCTTCAGTTTGCTTGGCTCTACAATCAATACTCTTTGTACCAGCAACCAAGAAATTAAAAGAAAAATTGCATTGGGAAAGTCTGTTGTCAGAGACTTCTCCAAAGTACTGAAGAGGAACAATATCAGTCTGGAGCCTAAGGTGCACCTGATTTAGGCCATGGTCTTTGCAATTACTTGTTATGCATCAGAGAGCTGGACAATGAATAGGAATGATAGAAGGAGAATTGATGCTTTTGAGCTTTGGTGCTGGAGAAGAGTATTGAATATGCCACGAACTGCTAGGAGAACAAACAGATTTGTCCTGGAGAGAGTGAAACCAGGCTGCTCCTTGGAGGCAAGGATTATGAAGCTCCATCTGATATACTTTGGACAAGGAGGGATCAGTCCCTGGAGAGGGACGTCATGCTTGGGAGGACGGAGGGACAGACAGCTCAGGCAAGGAAGACCCTGTATGAGATGGCTTAATTCAGTCACTGGGATAATTGGGATAGGTGTGTTGGAGTCAGTGAGATTGGCAAGGGATAGAGCAGGGTTTAGGGCTGTTGTACATAGGGTCGCTACGAGTTGCAGGTGACTCGACGACACATAACAGCAACAACAGAATGCCAGTTTGAAAACTAAGGTGCATCTGATTCAGGCCATAGTCTTTCCAATTACTAGCTATGCATTCGAGAGCTGGACAAGGAATAAGGATGACAGAAAAAAAAATTGATGCCTTTGAACTGTGGAGTAGAGTACTGAACATCCCACAGATGGTCAAGAGAGTGTGAACAGATATGTGTTGGAGCGGGTGCAGCTGGAGTGCTCTTGGAAAGCAAGAATGATGAGGCTTCACCTCTGAACATGTTGCTAGATGGTGCTATTCCTTGGAGAAGTACGTGATGTGGGGAAGGGTGGAGGGTCAGGTTTGGCAAAGGAGAGGAAGACTCTCAACCAAGTGGATTGATATGGTGACTGCTGCAATGGGCTCTTGCATGTCAGGAAGTGTGAGGATGGTTCATAGAGTTCCTGAGTCGTGCTCAACTCAACAGCACCTAACAACAACAACAACAACAACAATACACCAACAACTTAAGTTGAAAAGGAGGAAATTGAAGATTTATACCAACCTTTGCAGTCTAAAATTGATAGAACATGTAATAAAAATTCATTACTAATAATTGGTATCTGAAATGCAAAAAGTTGGGAATAAGAAAGGAGCAGGAGTCATAAATTACGGACTTGGGGACAGAAATGAGGCTGGAGATAGAATGATAGAATTTTGTATTATCAATAATTTATTAATTGAAAATGTATTTTATAAAACACACAAATGGAAACTATACACATGGGTCTCACCTCGTGGACTAGCCATTCTGGAAAGAAAAGAAGAACTTCAAAGAGGTGTGAAGACATGGGCAAAAAATGATACCCCAGGAATTCATGGGATATCAATTGGCATATTTGAACAAACAGATGCAAGTCTGGCTGATCTCACCAGTTTATGCCAAGAAATTGGGAAGACAGCTATCTGGCAAACTGAGTGGAAGGGATCCATATTGGTTTTCATTTCCCCAAAAAGGTGAGCAATCCAACAGACTTTGGAAATTATTAAACTGTATCATTAATCTCACATGTAAGTTAAATCTAGTTGAAGATTGTCCAAAAACTCCTAGGACAGTACATTGACAGGGAGCTGACAAAAATGCAAAGCGAGTTTAGAAGAGCCTGTGGCATTAGGACTATCATTGTTAATGTGAGCTAAATCTTGGCTGAAAGCAGAAAATATGTCTGTACTATGCAAAAGCATTCGACTTGTGTGTATCTCAACAAGCTATGGCTAAGGTTGAGGAAGAACGGGATTGTGCGTATAGGAAACCTTTACCTAGACCAAGAAGCTGTTGTTGAACAGAGAAAGGGAACACAGCTAACAACGAGAAGTGCATTGATATGCATGTGTTAAGATGTTGTTGTTGTTGTTGTTGTTGTTACGTGCCGTCGAGTCGTTTGCACTCATAGCGACCCTATGTACAACAGCCCTAAACCCTGCTCTATCCTGTGCCAATCGCACTGCCACTGACACACCCATCCCGATTACCCCAGTCACTGAATCAATTCATCTCATAGAGGGTCTTCCCCTCTTGCGCCGTCTCTCCACCCTCCCAAGCATGATGTCCCTCTCCAAGGACCTGTCCCTCCTTGCAACATGCCTAAAGTATGTCAAACGAAGCCCCATAATCCTTGCCTCCGAGGATTTGCTTGTAAGATAGCAACAACGAAAAGACTGGGAGAGGGGGGGAAAAAATCCAAAATTATTTAAATATTCTGTCTTGCTAGCAAGCAAATCCCAAGATTAAAAAAAATCAGTTTTCAAAAGAATATTCATTATTTCCCAAGTCCTTACAAACTCTTTAAGTATCTTAGGTAAGAGAGGGAGAAAAAGAACTCTGGTACTTTTGCACTGAGGTATGCCTCGTGGGTGAGAATTATACTAGCAATGTGAGCTCTCCTTTCAAACTGACATGGCCAGAAAGTAAGGAAGAAAAAAATGGTCCTAACGGTATAATTATTTTTGTTTGCTTGCTAGGCGGTTCTCAATTAAAATGGTATTTAAGAATGCACAACATACACGACTAATTTTCCAGGTTATTAGTTGAAAATTGCTTTCATGTCTAATCCAGTGTTGCATGTGGGACCCACTTAAAGAGATTTGCCATATAATTTAGGATGGACACCGACAAGTTGGGGAATGGTGTTTGTGACCCCTGCAGGAACTGGCAAGGAATCACTCAAATCCAAGGTCAGAGTTTTCAACTCACTAAAGTACTTGGGCCACGAGTCTCCATTGCCGCCTGACATAGGAAAGCGTCAGGGCATGTGCCTCTTTCTACACTAGATGTCACTGTACATCAATTGCCTGTGGGAGAGAACCGTGAGTTGTTCTTATGTTCAGTTCAGGGCAATAAGCATGGTCAGTCGCTGCACTTGTGTTCACCCCAAAGACAGCGAACGAGGAACCTAGGTCCGGGCTAAGACCGCAGTGGGGATGGAGCGGGGGCGGTGCCATTAGGAGAGAGCACGGTGGCGACATGAGCCGGAGGGCCAGAGGTCTCGGGATGCCCGGCGGGCCGCGGGTGGGGGGAGGCGGCGCGATGCGGGAGGCGGGACCGCGCCACGCTCGCCCGCCCGCCCGCACCCGCGAGCGAGACGGTCACGTGCCATGCAGGCGCTGCCCCCTCTGGTCGGCGGCGGGAGGGCGGGGCCGGCGAGGAGCTGACCGGCCGACGTGGGGCTCCGAGCAGTCGCGCCCGTCGTTCGGTGTCGCCCCACTTCGGGTGCGAGCCGAACGCGTGTAGCGTGCAAGGTGAGGACAGGCTGGAGTGGAGAACGCGACCTCCGCGACGCGATGCAGAGCTGCCCGCCGCCAGCCGGGAGGGCGGGGGAGGAGCCATGGCGCGCGTGCGCACAGGACAGAGTGCGAGGGGCGGGGCGGAGCTGCAGAGAGCGCGCGCCCGTCGGAGGGGGCGGGGCGAGGGGGCAGTCGCGGAGCGCGCGCGGGCCAGGCGTCGCGCTTGTGCCGAGTGTCGGACGCGGCGCGGCGGAGTGACTCTGCTCCTTCGGCCCTCCTCCTCTTTCCTCCCCGGCCGCGGGTCAGGGGACCGTGCGGCGTTGGAGCCGGGCTCCGCGAGGTCGGAAAAGGCGGCCGTGACCGGGCATGGTGGTCTGGGGCAACGCGGAAGGTGAGCGACCCCTGGACCGGCGGCGGCGGTGGGGGAGGGGTGGGACCGGACACGCGTCGCCCGGGGGTGCCGCAGATTAGCCCAGCGGCAGCCGGAGCACGGACGGCCTGAGGCGGGGGAGGGGCGCCTCTGGCTGAGCGCCTCCGCTGTCCTCTAGTGGCCCGCGGCCCACTCTGCCCGTGTCTCCCTGCACACCGGCTGCTGCTCTGGGTTATGTAACGACTGACCTCCCCTTTTCTCTCCGCCATGGCGCGGCCGGGCCTGGGCGCTGCCGCTGCCTCCGCCCCTGCAGACTCCACACGGCCGCCGGGCCGAGGCACCGCGCCGGCCCTCGCACCCACGGCCCTTTGCTCCGCGCTTTCCGAAGCTGCTCGCCCGGGGACGCCTCCGCCGGCCGGGCTCTGTCCGCGCTGTAAACTCCGTCCTCCCGCGCCGGCGCCTCGGCGGGCTCTTCAGTTCCGCGCCATTCATTCGTGCGCGCGATCGTTGGTTGGTTCAGCCAGCATTTGCAGAATGTCGACTGGGGGTTTAATGCTGGTATTCTCCATCTGCCCGAGTGTAACGATATTGGGCTCCCCCCCAAAAAAATGCATCCTGGAATCGACAGCGAAATAATTTTTATTTACCTGTTTCCCTTGTTGCACTTGTTCTCTAACTGTTCAGGATACCTTTCCCTGACGGTTCTTGCAAGTACCCTTTTCACACTTTAACGCAGTTACAATGATTCCTCACTCTACAACCCAGAAAGGGTCACCTCCCTAGGTATTTACCCTGTAGCTGTGCCTGTGTGTAAGGAAACAACCTTAGTATTTTGATGCCCCCTTGTTAGAAGGGGAGGGGAATTGCACAATTAATTCGTCCACTAATTCACTGTTTATCTTCAGATCATGGCACAGTATGCACCAAGTAGCAACATTATCCTTTAAGTGAAAATAATGTAAACTAGAACATACCCTAAAAAGGACCTGGAACTCCGAAAGCTTTAAATATGGGTCGTTCTTGAGTATGTGCTTGGTCTCTGCCCTTTGAGAATCATTTCTATTTTAGTCCGAGTCAGGCTTCAAGGGTAAGGACTACCAGCACCTTTCTAAACTTCTGGCCTCTTTTCAACTATCTTCTCTTCTCATGCAGATACTAACATTCCATTTCTTTATTTCCTGTACTTCCTTGTCATGGACTCTTCAAAACTCCCCTAAAGCTCTTCTTTTAGAATTACTAAGTTTCAAAATGATTCTTTTTAATTTTTCTCTCTCCCACCCCCATCCTAGGGCATAGTCTGCAGAATCCCTGCCTACTTTTTATCACAGTGTCTTATCCTTACATAGTGATAAACAATATTTCAAAATAATGTTTTAATATGTAAGATCATACCCCTGCCGTGCAGCACTCATTGTATATAAGCATTAAAGAAACCCTACTTTCACCAGCAACAAATTAGAAAAAAAGAACCTTCAAACACGTTACTGTTGAGACATAACTGACTCATCATCAATGACCCTCCATTGGGTTTCTGAAGTTCCAGATTGCATGTAAGGAGAGTGCCCGTCTTTCTCTCATAGAATTGCTGTTGGATTTGAATCACTAGAGAGGCTAGACTTTATTCTTAGCAGCTCTCTTTGGACTTAATCTGTGCAGAATTTCTCCAGTAAGAAGTTATAATGATACAAATATTATATATTTGATAGTCTTCTGAAAACTGCTGTAGAATTTCAGCGTTAGATAAAGGTTTGGATTCTGGCTCTGCCAATTATAAGCTGTGTGATTTTGGACAAGTTACTGACATTTCTGATCTTTTTTCATTTGGAGAGTGAAGACTATTTTGAATTTTGCTTTTAGGGTTTTTTTGTTTTTTTAAATCTTGAGTAGCAGAAGACTAAATGAAATTTTTTTAATTTTTCTTTTTGTTTTACATTGTGCCATTGCTTTATTAGCTTTACTTTTAAGCACAGTTACTAGAATCTCTTCATCATAAAAATGATGCCAATGTTAGGGTTGTCGTCTTCGTGTTAACTTTTTTGTGCCGTTGAGTTAGTTGCTTGCAACTCATAGCGACCTGTGTACAACAGCCCTGAAACCAGCTCTATGCCAACTTTACTGTCCCTGACACTTATTTTTTTGTTTACTGTCCGACTTGCACAGGAGGAGATTGCTTCTCCTTCTCTAGCGGAGCATCTGATGGATTCAAACCACATGCCTTCAAGATTGAGCACAGCTTCTTGCTTCTTGGCCTCCAGAGCTCCCTTTAATGAATTCTTAAATGCAAGGCATCTAATGAATGAATCCCTGTTCAGTAAATAAATACTCCTTTTCGTATACTTCTTTATTACACTCTGTAATAAGTGTACACTCTTTAATAGGCTAAGATGTATTGGAGACAAAGCATGTGAAGGTCAGAAGAAATGGTAAAATGCCCAAACTAAACCTTTTCCCATTGAATCAATTCCAACTCATGAACCACTCTGTAGGAGAGAATAGAACTATAGAATTTCCCAAACTGTAATCTTTATAGAAGCCAACTTCCACGTCTTTCTACAACTGAGTGACATTTGAAAGATTGGAGTTCTAACCATCACCTTTCGAGTAGCATCCAAGTGCTGATTTACAGACCATTAGAAATGGCTTCCAGTGATAAGACCATCTATTGCCCTCTTGTCTGTTCTGCCTACAGCAACCTTCTATTGGGTTTCTGTGTCTGTATCTTTATGAGAGGACAGAGAGCACTTCTTCCACTTGAGGAGCAGCTGGTGGATTTGAATTGCTCACCGATTGGCTAGCAGCCCAAAGGCTCCTTAGTGATAATATAGGAACATCCAAATAAGTGATCAAACTCTAATCTTCACTATTACAGCCCTTTCTTGTGTTTTTTTTTTCCTTTTAAGAATATAAAGGTGTGTAATATTAAAAATTTATAGTATATACTAACAACATTTTAAGGTGACAGAAAGATCTGTTTTTAAGTCTTTTTCCTTATATAAAAACCAAGCGAAACATTAATGTGGATATGAATACAAACAGAAGAAGAATCTTGATTTTAAAGGTAGCTGAGGAATGGGATTTGAGGGGAGGAAAGATGGGTTATAGTTATAGTTATAAAAAAGGGAGTTTTAAATTTTTAAAAGGGATAATTAGTTTGCAAGCTCTTATTTTAGGATGTCAACTACTTAAAATCAGTGTGTGAATTCTGCTCTCTTGATTGGACTGTTGTGATAGTGCCCTCCTTCTCCCTGCCTTTGCTCCCTTTCTGACTTTTCCACTAACAACCAGAGTTATCTTTTCAAGGACTGAAATCAGGTTGTCTTGTCTCTTCCTCAAAGCCCTCCAAAAGCAGCTTCCAGCTACATATAGAAAACAAGACAAAACCAATAAACTCACTGCCTTCAAGTTGTTTCAGCTCACAGCCGTCTTCTATCAGGCTGACTCAGAAAAGGAGAACGTTGCTGGTCTTACTCCAAACCACAGGTGGGATTCCTCCTGCCAGACACAAGAAGACCTCTGGTTAGCAGGACAACATACTACCACTAGATCTTGTTTTTTGTTACATTTGGAATATAATCTAAACTCTTGTCAAAGCCCATCAGAGTGTTAAATGATCTAGCACCTGCCAACTTTTAACTTCATCTCTTAACCAGTTCACTTTTGATCACTTCCCTGTATAGTCCTTTTGCTAATCCTTGAACAACCCACCTTGTTCTTACCTTAAGGAAATTGTGCTATTTTAACTGGACAATGCTTTCCTGCAGGTCATCATGGCTCTTGATTTTCCTTTCTTCTCTTGACTGTTTGAAGGTCACTATCTCACTAGAGCAGCTTTCTGTTACATCTAAAATAGAACTCTTGCTATAATTTTTTTATTCTTTCATTGTGTTTTATTTTTGTCAATGTTATGTGCCATCAAGTCAACAAAAACCCAGAACAATAGATCTGAACCTTGTTCTATCCTTCACCATCCTCACAATTTCTTATATGCTAGAGGCCATTGTTCTAGTCACTATGTCAGTTCATTCTGTTGGAGGTCTTACTCTCTCTGACCTTCTGTTTTTCCAAGCACGATGTCCTTTTCCAAGGACTGGCCTCTCCTGACAACATGTCCAAAGTATGTAAGATGATGTTTGACCATCTTTGCAAGGGTCACCCCGACTGCGCTTTGTCCAGACAGACTTGTTCTTTTGGCAGCCCATAGGCTATTCAGTACTCTTCTCCTGAATGACAACACAAAGGGGTTAAATCTTCCGTTATCCTTACTCATTAATCTACTTTGAAGTGCATTAGAAATAACGAAAAAGACCA